TCTATTCGGGATTCGATCCCGTGACCATGCGCGTGAGATAGTGCGCCGCTTACCACCACTCAGTCTTCGTTCGCCCTAATTATTATATTAGTAATAATAATAATAATAATAATAATAATAATATGGCTAATGAAAATTTACTGGCAAAACGCCAATTGAAAAATGAATAATATGGAAGAATGAAATCGATATCGAGAATCAAGTTTACATTGGAAAATCTGCTTACTGTACAAGTTTTGGACTTCGCATACCATTACCGTCATAGATTGTTATGTAGTCACAACAGGATTCCATGTCGAAATGAGTGAAATTGAAACTAGGAGGGAATAATTATAATCCTAATAGGTAATATAAAGCACAGCAGAACCGAGAGAGTGATGTACCTCAAAACTTTCCCAGGCTCAGCAGTGATGTAGTAGTAGCATTCAGTATTTGGTGGGTAGAGCTTTGGGTAGTAAGGAGATGAAATAACTCCTTCATAGTAGAAATCATTGTTTGACGGACATCCCGTGTAGTCAAACTGACCAGAATTGATGGCGAGCTGAATAGGTAGAAGTTCGACAGTTTTATGGCTCATTTGTAGGTGAGGTTTTACGAGGTGAACTTCGAAAAGGTTCAAAGTTTTTTGAGTTCAGTAGAATCGCGAAAGACTGACCTTTGGCAGAACTCTTTTCCTGAAGGGTGCAGCAATGTGGAAGAAAATGAGCAAAACGACAGCGAGCCGCATTTTGAAACGCCTTATCATTAGCGAAACGATATTTTGTAGGCTGACAAAGCGGTGAGATTAATTTTATCAATGATCACCAACTTGGCACGCTGTTGCTAATCATCTCTAAGGAGGAAAGCTGAACTGTGCTCTTTCATTAATTAAATTTGGATTAAGGTTTCCTATGCTCCAATGTGCGAAGTGATTATTACGGAGCTTCTAAAAAGTGCATTTGATGTCATCTTTCTCAAGAATCCTACACCCAAACGAGCTCTGATCGGAAGAAAGTCAGACATACAGAGAATCCTGCATCTATGCATGGCTTGTTTCAAATCGGATCAAAAATTATTCCATCATGCATTCAATGGTATATGTACTCCAGACTTTCACATCTCCGTATCCTACCCATTACTTTTTTTACGGTACCGCTACCATAATTATTTCTGTGGCCTAATTAGGTATGTAGTGTAGTGACAACGCTGACCAGACCCTGGATCAGCACTTTTCCAGGGCAATAAAGCCCCCATGTTTCCGAGATGAATTGGCCGGCATCAACTAATTTGCGAGGTCTTCACCGAGTAAGACCTACGTAGAGCTTCATTGCATAAGTTGTCAAACGCCGATACGGCGGCATATTGGCATTCTTGAGCAGGTCGTCCTGGTTGATTTCAGCCAAAAACCAAGACCTTGGAGAAAGAATGCCAACACGCTGCGGTTGGTTGATGGTTCCCCTTTTGGAAAAGGAGCAATTCGAAGCTCCAAAATGAAATTGCTTTGATAACTCTTTTGTAGCAACGTAGACTTCAGGAGGCTC